GCACTCCTGGTAATAATTCTGTAGTGTAGCTATTCGGTCGTGGTCATCGAGGGTGATTTCCTCTTTCACCATTCCTGATACAGCTTTGTCGTTCAACACCTCAAGTGTGAACCTCGAGGGTGGTCCCTCTTACGTTCACCTTGATGATTACATTGAGTGGAATCCTCCGTGGGTGATTCCTCAGGTTTTCCCCTTGATGTTTGGACACACGGTTACAATGACTTTACTTGAGACCTTGGTGAAAGTCGGGCGAGCCCGGAGAGCACCCGCAAGATAATGACGTGGCACGGTCGGGCATTCTGAGCCCTTGTCGTAAGTCCACAAGACGGGGCGACGGGGTTACTTTCGATCGTGAGTCTCTCCGCAAGCTAATAATACACTATGGTTTGGGTATTTGTTCTGAGTTGGCATATGGCCTTTACGCACTAACCACCATGCGAGAATAGATATGGGCCTCGACGTCGCCATATCAGCCGAAGCTTTGTCAGACGTCCAGTTCAGCATTGTGGCATGGTCGGATCGTGCTGGCCATCCAGGCGATGCTGGTATCCACCCTGCACACAATGACCCAGAGTGCTGCGGGCGATGGGCCCAAGACCCCGGAGTGCTTAGGATGTAGACCGGCGGGGACCTCTCTACTGAGGCTAGGTCGGGTGGCGGCGTGTTGATCTTCCGAGGGTGGGCATTGACCCCAGAAAGGTGTGTCCAGCCAGAGTGATCGAGCGTGTTGGGTAACATGGTGCACCCCTGCAGGGAAGTTATATATTCGAATACCGTCTCCACGGTAATGGACGTTCAGACTTATATCCTGATCTTATACAACTACAAATAGATACTTGAGATATGTGGCTCCGAGATTGCATTCTCGCAGGGAGTCGAGGAAGGATCTCTGGGCATTAATGTTACAACATGTTTGTTAATTAAACTGCTATTCTTTACTCTTCTATATGCTGCAAGATGCTTGGAGCTGTTTGAAGATGCTAGTCTTTGATAGGCTAGGCCTCCCCCCCCCCCTCTATTCTGGCATTCTGCAGTTCAGTCCACAGATACAACCCTTCCATTTGATACCAATGCATACTTAGTATAGATCTGATGCTTGCGAGTACTTTGGATGAGTACTCATGGTTGCTTTGCTACCCCTTTTCCGCCTTCTTTCTTCTTTCCGGTTGATGCAACCAGATGGTGGATCCCTGGAGCCAGATGCCAACGCTGACGGATACTGCTACGTGAAGACCGCCGACGACAGGAGTAGTTAGGAGGTCCCAGGCGGGAGGCCTTGCCTCTTCGATCATTGTTGCTTTTGTGTTTGCCTTCTTAAGGCAGTGTTGTTTAACTAATGTCTGTACTCAGATATTGTTGCTTCCGGTGACTCTTGTGTATCGAGCTTGTATTCGAGCCCTCGAGGCCCCTGGCTTGTAATATAAAGCTTGTATTATTTTGAATTGTGTCTAGAGTTGTGTTGTGATATCTTCCCGTGAGTCCCTGATCTTGATCGTACACATTTGCGTGTATGATTAGTGTACGGTCGAATTGGGGGCGTCACAACAGTATGGGTAGTGTACGAGGAGTGTATGGAGGAGCAATTGTGCGCTCCAGCCGGAGCGAGACGCAGACGCGGCACAGAGAGGAGTGGACGCACGGCCATGGGCCGAGCGGCCGGACGAAGCGAGGCGGCACGGCGTGCGTGGACAGACGGAGGGCACCGTAGTGGTGTTGACGAAGAGGGCGAGGCCGGTGACGAGGGTGCGCCGCCCCGTACAGCCATGCCGGGGACGAGTTGATGTCGGGCCCACGGGCGCAGCCGGAGAGACGGCGGCGACGTCTCGGCGGAGACGACGAAGAAGGCGAGGCCGACAACGAGGACGAGTTGTTCCGCGTGGCCGCCTCGGGGGCGAGTTGATGTCGAGCCATCGAACGCGGCCGGAGAGACGGCGGCGACGTCGTGGCGGAGATGACGAAGATGGTCCCGCCCGAACCGTGGTTCCAACGGCAGCTTGCCCCATGTTGGGCGCCAATTATCGTGGTATTCTCGCGTCAGTCGGCAGGGGGGTCCGCGAGACGACAGATGCCACAGAGTGGCTTGAGGTGAGGGCAAGACTGCCGTGGACTATCCAGGACGGGTATGTGAATAGCACGCGGGGATTTACCCAGATTCGGGGCTCTCCAGAAAGATAATACTCCTACTCCTGCATGTCTAAATATATATGTGATATATCTGCAGTACATAGTGCTTCTGAATCTGTATCTAAGGTCAGCAGGCATCTGGCCTCGTATCTGTGAGCACAAATGCTTGGGCATTCATGTCCATGGCCGGGTGTCCATATGAGCTAATGGCCATGTGTGGCCGTGAGTGTGTGAGTGCTCATGCGTGTGAGCATGTGAGAATGAGAGAGTGGATGGATGGGTGTGTGCATGCGTGAGAGTGTGAACTCCCCTGGGTTGGGGACAAGATACACTATTAGTGATGGCTCTACACTATACATGATGATGGGTGAACAGTGTACATCTATGCAGCAATAGTGGTCAGGCTTGGCCATGGTGTGGCTGTCTTGTCGTTGTCTTGTCGGTGTCGAATGTGATGTCGCAGTTGACTCCTGGCAGCCGGCTGGTTGGCGCAGTCGGACGGGAGCTGACCGGGCAGCCGGATGGCGGGGCAGTCGGACAGGGGGGCGCCTAGTGCGACCGGGCGGCGAGCTGGTCGGTGAGCTGGTCGAAGCAGCCGCACTGAGGGGCGTGGGCCGCCCCGATGTCTTGAAGCGTTGCTTCGCCGACTTTGGAGTACCCGGGGTCATTCCCCCGACACTAGTGATAATGGTGATGATGATGCTAATGATGGTTATGTTGATGCTCCATGTAATGATAATAATGAACCTGAAAATGATGTAAAAATAGAGGCGGAAACTAAGCTTGAGGACCCACCTCCTGTGAATAAATTCCGTTAATACAATGATTTGATAAAAAATGTTGCTAGGAAGCACGGTAAAGAAAAAAACTGTTGGTTCAAAAACTCATGCCTTTTCGCCAGGTGGGCCAAGCCAGACACCGCCAAACGAAGCGGACGTGAAGAACGCCCGGTTTGTGTTCGCTTTGACTTAAACCGCGATCAAATTTGGTCTGAAATAAGAAATAGGGATGAGTTTGTGCGTTGGGTCGTATTTTTGTCCATGCAAATCTAAACTGACAAAACCGCGAAATTCGTCCACGGTTGGAGTTGGCCTTATATTGCTCTAACACAGGGTTAGGGTATACCCAAAAGGCCAAAACCAGAGAGGATCCAGTCATTTTGGGGGAAAGAAATTAGAGTGGGCAGACGAGAAATGCTACAGTTGCGGGCAATTGTTTACTGGTTCAAGTTTACGGAAAGATGTAGTATTAAATACTTGGCTTGCTGGAAATCGGGGGGGAGGGGGGGCAGAGAGTAAAATCAGCGAGGAGTTATTGGTGGAAAACATCCCGTAACTAGAATCCGTAAGCAGTTGTCCGTAAGTCTAGCAATTTTTGTGGGCAGAGACATACGACCCAAATTGAAGTTGAAAAGATTGTGAGTCATGTTTGATTGCTCTCTTCAGATCCATGGCTTTTACTTTTCTGTTTTCGTTTCTAATCAAATAATTCACCGGCACAGCACAGATCGACCGAAAACAAGTACAATTTCCTTCCATCCGGGCAGCTTAATTAGCTTAACATGGACACACATCACACATCCGGGAAACTAGGGGCACCTATGCTTCGTGCCGCCTGATGCTGCTGCTCTGCCTTGCCTCGCAGGCGGCGCCAAGGCGAAGCTGCATATGTTGCCTCTACCGGTCCAGGCTAGGGCACCGACCAAAGAATTCAGACCTTGTCTATTCCAACAAAACTTTTCTCGGCCACGCGCTCCGGCCAGGCTGTCCGCTTAGCTTGTGACGGATACCTTCCTTGACTGCCGCTGCCCATGGTGGCAGTCCGCCTCCGCCGTGAACCGCTGCAGCCTCGAGGCGGCCTGCCTGGCGCAGACGGCGTCGAGGTGCATCTGCTCATGCCAGCACTCCTCGCTGCAGTAGGGCGTATCCCCTCTATACATGAAGACGTCGAGCGAACCATCGAGCCAACCAGTGTCAGTGGTCTTTTGCCAGCCCTTCGGGAAGCAACACGGCTTCTCGAGCGTGGCCATGCGCATGCAGCCGCCGCCGCCCACGTGCACCACTCGGGCCTGGCCCTGAAGAAATTGCCGAAGCCAGGCCTAGAAGGGCATTAAGGTTCATGCCATACGGGCTAAACAGTAAAAGCAGGCAACCAATTGACCCGTTTGCTTCCATGCTGTCGGATCTCATGCGGCCAACCAAACATGCCTTAGTCTTTATCGATTGCCACGAACTGTTTACAGTGGCGGTGCTCTATAGCACACTGCGCACGCAAAAGGACAAAATAAAACAAGATCCAATCATTTAGGGGTAAGAAATACTTAAGAGATTGGGCAGACATGCGACCCAAATTGAAGATAAACGAATTGTGAATCATGTCTGATTGCTCTCTTCAGATCCATGGCGTTTACTTTTCTGTTTTCATTTCTAATCAAATAATTCATCTGCACAGCACAGATTGACCAAGAACAAGTACATTTTTCTCCCATGCGGGCAGCTTAGTTTGCTTGCCATGGACACATCCGGGAAGCTACAGGGCACCTATGCTTCGTGCCGCCTGATGCTGCCCTGCCTGGCTGCCTTGCCTCTCGTAGGCGGCGCCAAGCTGCATCTGGTACCCGGAGAGACGGAAACATCAGACGCCTCCCAAGAGACATCGATGGTTCTTCAGAATACAGAGGTTGTTTTCTTCAGAATTCAGATCTTGTCGATCCAAAGAAAACTTTCCGCGACTAGCTCGCGATGGACACCTTCCTGGACTGTCGCTGCCCACGGTGGCACTCCGCCTCCGCCGTGAACCGCTGCAGCCGCCGGGCGGCCTGCCTGGCGCACACGGCGTCGAGGTGCATCTGCTCGTGGCGGCACTCCTCGCTGCAGTAGGGCGTGTCCCCTCTGTACATGAAGACGTCGCTGTCGCGCGCCAGCAACTTGGCGCAGAGCGCGCAAGCGTCCAGCGCCGGCATGCCGGGCTCGCCGACCGGCTCGGCGTCGAAGAAGAAGGCGCAGGCCACCGATGCCGCCATGGTATTGCTATATGGCTGGGGAGAGAAGCTCCTTCTAGCAAGCTCGCGCTTGAGCTTCAGAGGTGGGATGGGAAAAGGTGGGTGAGTTTGGTGCAGCGGTGCGAAGCGGGAGGGCGGGTATATATATATCTGGCCATGGGCCGGGCTGGGCCGGGCCTGAAAAAGTCCACGGCAGAAAACTGAGGCCCAGGCCCTCCCAGGCCCTTTCACTGGGCCTACTTTTCAAGCCCAAGCCCGGCCCATCTGGTAAAAAGACCTTAGGGCTTAGGGCTGTGGGCTGGGCCTCTTCCTTAAAATGCCAATATGTCAAGCCTAAGCCCGTCCAGGCCTTACTGTGGGCTCAAAACTTAGACCCAAACCTGGCCCATGGGCAAGCCCATCGGGCCTAGGCCCTGGATTTTAGGGCCGGGCCTGGCCGGGCCGACAGGGCCGGGCCTGAGATGGCCAGGACTAGGTATATATGGACGGACGGAGCACGTCAAGCCCATTATTGGTGCTCTGGTGAGCTGGGAAACCATGGTCCGGTGCGCGGTATGGTACGACATGCATGCCTGGGTGCAATGCGTTGGTTCGCTCGATGGTTAACGTGGGCCACGGCGACGAGAACGACGAGGGCGGAGTTATGCTTGACGGGGATGGTGTGGTCCCGACGAACGGAGAGGGCTCGAGGAGTCTCTGTAGAGTGTCCATGTCGACCTAGAGAAAACCAGAGCGATCGATCGGGACAGGAAATACGAGCAATTTCTCCGCTTTTCCCTGTGGATAAGAGCAAGCATTGGCGTCAATAATTACCGCACGAGCATCCGCTGCGCCACTTGTCGGGAACGAGGGCGTCGAATTTACTCTAGCTTCGGATTAAAGTAACTTGAATGTCTTGGTGTCGATAATTAGGGCAAACAAACGCAAGGGACAGGCACGGAGACACCGCACATGGTTGAGCCACGCTAATGACAAGCGACAGCAAATGCGCGCGCACCTGGTAGTACTATTATGATTCGTGTCCTTTTCAGAAAAGAAATCTATATATATATCTATACCTATTATTAAAAAGAATAGATATTCTTGGTCTGGTTTGTCCATAATAATATTTTTATATAGCCCAAATTTCCATTCATCTTTTTATATAGGCTTTTTTGGTATTTCAAAGTGTACTAAAGCCGAGCTACATGTGAACACAGCGTGTATGTGATCTTCGGGTTGTACTTTTAGTGGGCTTAGAAGATTCTGCCTGGTTCGTGGTTTTGGGAGCCTGCATATCCACATATGCATGCATTCCTAAAAAATCCACGTATGCATGTATTCCTAAAAAATCCACATATGCATGCATCGAGCGAGAAAACCATACGATTGCACAATTTAGTCCAGAGTACAAGTCCTTATGTATAGTTGGTTTGAGCCGAGGCGCCTACACATGCATCGATGCACTTTAACTCGAACAACCCGTACATGCATCGAGCCTGAAACCCTAGATCAACGTAATTCTCGCCGCGACCCTACCTTCTGGACGCGACAACTCCGTTCATGAACGATGAGCTCCCTTGCAGCAACCGATTTAGCTGCAATGTGTCCCCGCCGCCAACCTCCACGAGCAGCTCTTCAACTTGCAGCGTCACAGGAAAAGAGCACAATGCAAAGAGGATAAATGGAGGACAAGACTCAAGGAGTGGCTACAGATAGAGATGAAATAGTGTCGCCGAAGCTGCTGCGACACCTGCTGCTGGGCCGAAGGCCATGCTGTCAGCTCAAGCGCGTTCATGTCGATCGGCAAGATCAAGCTCAGAAAAAAATTGTTTGATGCATCTTAATACGGCAAAGCTAGCAGTCCATGCTCAATTGTCTAGCATCAACTTTCGCGGCGGCGCGGCTGCCACATAGCATCTGACTGCACACTATAGCGTTTAGATGATGCCCTGCGCTAAGAAATTTTAGTCCAAACACATGAATAGACATTTTAAATAGGGCGTCATAGCATGCTATAGTGTTTAGAAGTGGTCCATCGCTAAGAGGCTTAGCGCGCTATTAAAAATTATGAAGGATTCTCAGCTGCACTAGCGGCTACGGCGGTCACAACGAAAGCTTTGCAATGGCCACATCAATCAGGAGACTTCGTCTGACCGTGCATTGTCATGCGAGGGTTTAGTTCTCCTTTTGCAAAGCACGGGCATTTGTGCTAGTAAAACCAAAAGAAAGCCACAAAAAAGTTCGATGCCACTTCCTTTTCACCGGCCGGTGCTCCATCGGGGAATCTTTGGGGCTGTGCCGGTGCATGCTCGCCAGCCAGCACCTTGTGTACAGTAGCCGATACACTGGGAGGTTGGCACGCGTAAAGTTCTTGTCTGCTCATTCGAACGAACCACCTTGTCACACAGAGCACTTTTTCAACACTTGAGACTCACTCCTAGTAGTAGTACGCTGAAAACTTTGGGGAGAAGGATGCGTTGTTTAACCGAGAAGCTGCCAACTGGTCTCATCGTCGAGGTCGCCATGCACGTTCCGGGCCAAGGGGGTGCACCTTGCAGCTGCGGGCCGTAATTCACAGTCGCGCGCCTGAAGATTCCCCCGATAGGTTTTTTTTTTCTTCCGAAACGGAGGTAAAATATTTGCCTCATCTATTAAAGTAGAGGAGAATAGAGTTTTGTAGAGTTACACAAGGCCGGAGTACGGCATGACAATTACTCGCGCGATACAATTTTCCCTAATTGTTTAGCCCCTGGAGTAACCCATAGGTTGGCCTCATCTATAATAAGCTTGAGAAGGATTGGCGGTGGCGTCTCTTTATGACGGAAGACTCTAGCGTTCCTTTCGTTTCAAATTGTCCAGGATACGAGCATGGTAAGAAAGGCCATGGCTCGACGATCCAGAATGCTCGAATTGGTGCGCTTGTCCCATCAAGAGAGGAGGGAATCCTCAAGGTGCCAGTCAGAAGGGTCCAGATTCGCAAGCCCATATTTGTCAATGAGCATCCGCCAAAGCTTTAAGGTGAAGCGGTATTTGGCGAATAGGTGGACGCCCGACTCCTGCACCTGCTTATAGAGCGGGCAAAGACCGCAGTTGTCCCAGCCACGTCGCTCTAGCCATGTCACGGGTAGATGGCATCTCGCATCGCCGATCAGGCGGGCAGGCTTCGTCCTAGGGGGCAGCTCTGTCGAGATCTGTCCGCCCAGTTTGTTTAGTGCCTGGCTTAGCAGTGAGACAGTGACGATGGACAATGGTGGCTCGCTCGCCTCCAGAATTTTTCGAAGAACTCTTTTCTCTGTGATGACTCCAGAGTTTGATTGGTGTTGGTTGCAGAGTGGGGGCTACACCTAGGCTGCTAAAAGCGGTTGGGTTTTGTTTGAAGCGGCGAGTGTCTGACACTCGACACAATGATACGACGTGCTCCGTATGCAACCGAGTCACGACACATCTCTTCTGTTGCACGTCTACGTCTTCCAGCCAGCCCATTGCTCGCTCACCCAATCTAGAAACAAGAATGATGGGAGAACCCCTGACTTATCAGAGTTTAGCAACTCTCGGCCGTGGGATCTTTTGCTTGATTGAACTTCGGCCGTCGGATCTCGCCTCAGAATGACACCGGCCTCTGGATCAAAACGATCGACTGTAGCAATATATAGTCCCCTCCCATCGTGCCACCGCGTGTAATTACCCCGCCGAGGGCATTTTGGAGCTTTCAAATTCTTGGAAAAGTGCCCAACTAGGGTTGAGACCGTGAGAGGCTGAGAGCGTGCTGCTCTCCCCCTTGAGCCCACCCTCCTCTCCTCCCCGCGCCGCCAGCCATCCTACTCGTCCCGCCTCCTCTCCTCCCCACCACCTCACACCTCCCGGAGTAGCAGCAGCCCCCGCCTGCCACCAAGAAGCCCAAGCCCGCACCAAGCAGTAGTTTCGGGGCGGCATGGGGCTCAGCCTCAACCCGCTAACACTAGTTGCCCCCCACGCTGCCGCCGGCTCCTTCTCCCGGCCTGTCGAATCCCGCCATCCGCGTCCCCGACATCGGAGCCGTCGTACTCGCGTGCACACGGCAGGAGAAGTGCGGCTCTCCTCTTAGCCAGTCTCAGTTATCTC